ATTCCAGAGCCATCTCATTGTCCATATGCTGACTTTCTTTTCCGGGGGTTACAGAGAGCCGAGTGTACGTATATAGCATTAGCTTGGTGTGAAACATACAATATACATGTTTCAGACTGTGTTGCTGTGGTCCAAAATAATTAACCATAATTTTTTCACAGAGTAAATCCAAGTATTCGTAATATTGAAAAAAATATATTGATGTTGTAGCACCCCTAGCAATTCCCACCCTATTAGTGTTCTGTTTTTTTTGCTTTTAATAATTTGAATTATCTGCTTAAGATGTTCTCACGTCTTTTGAGAGCAGGGTGTGGAAGGAGAGGATGGGCTGGTCACGTGTGCGCTATGTGAAGAAGCTAGACTCACTGGCTCAGTAATGAGAGGTGTTCAGCTGTCCACAAACAGCTGAATCCTCTAGACCTCAGGTTTGCTTCATTGAACAAAGTCTGAGTCAAATGAATCATTTTGATGAATTAATACATGAGAAATGGAAAGAATGTTATTTCTAATACGTGTACACTACTGTTCAAAAGCATGGATCAGCAAGGATGCATTCAATTGATCAAAAGTGACAGTAAAGACATTTCTAATGTAACAGAAATGAATGGCAGTGTATATGAGTGTATGTTTATTTTGCTTAGTCTTTCACATCTGTTGAGAAGATGATTGTCAACTCTCATGTTTCAGGTTTTTGCTGTAGGCCACATTTCCTCTTCCTGTCCGTACAATGAAAATAGCCCATTATCTCAGTTTTCCTCTTTAGTTGGGGAAGAGTTTTGGACACATTGTCTTTGTTTTCACATATGTTTTCACAAGAATGCATTCACAAAAATAATGAGGTTAGGCACATTTCACAAATTCACCCTGCGAAACTCCTAATCTCTTGCCTGCCCTGTGATTGGACTATTAGACACCAGAGTCAGACGGCCTGGGACAAACTGATCCTCCCTGAGTAGTTAACCTTATTTTCCTCACTGCCAAATTAAATGATCAAATTAAGCGCCTCAACAGGATTTTAACTCGCTTTTTAGTTTTGCTGGCCTCCTTTTTCTTCATGACTGTAATAAAATGTTTGCTTGAACTGTGTCATCTGTGAATTGTCATAATGTGCATTTGGAATTAGTTTTAATTAATAAATAATCAATAAAATCTAAATAATCTTGCCAAAGAAAAATGCAGAATTATTGTAACTTTTGTAAAGACATTTCTTTTGTGATACATAGATATTTTAGGTTTGTCTTTCGTTCAGTATTTTTGGTAGCAGCCACACTCCCTACCCACAAGGATCTTATTATGGAATGTTACAATAAGAAAACCATTGCCATGGCACTTAACAACCACGCATTGTACCGCTATTTAAACAATCCCAACGCCTTTGAGTGATAAGTGGAAGGAATGCAAACGTTGTGTCTAATACCAACCAAAGCAGCCTCCCATGACTAATCTCACTCTCACAGTTTCTCTCTTCCTCTCTCATTTTACTTGTTTTTGTTCTTTGGCACATTCACGGTCACACAGTACTTTTTTTGTGTACGTATAAATACAGTCGACAACACGTCATGTGCTGGTGCCATACTTTAGCGTCATGGACAAGAAGTCTTGGTTGCTGTAGTTTTTTATTCATTTCATTTGGGGGAAAGTAAAAAGAAATATCCTGTAGATTTGGTTATTTTGGCTATTTTTCAGAAAGCAAACAATGCAAAAATTAGACAGAATTTAGTTATTTAGTTTGTATAAATATCTGCCGACATTAGATATGTTCAGATGTCCAAAAAATAGCTTGATCTGTTGGAAAATTCTCATTGTGGGTAAGTATCAGAATTTGTCTCGGTCCTCTTTGTCAACTGTATAGATAGACTGCATATATGTGTTTTGACTCACCTGTGCATGTGCTGCAGGGCTGCACAATTAATCGAATTTCTAATCACAATTACAATTATGGATGCCACAATTACGTAATCGTTCAAAGCGGCAATTAATCGTTCAAAGTCCACTTATTTTATTCTGCACGCTTAAGATTTTCAGTAAGTAAGATTTAAGTTTATTTCTTTCTACATGTTATCTTAAGGGTTTTTCCATTGTTTTAGTTTTAGTATAACATTATAATACCATTCATATTTTTACTTTTTTATAATTTAAAGAAAAAATCAATCCGATGTATATTTGACATTTGAGGCTTAATACTATAGAAAAGCACTAAAGGTTTTTCAGTTAGAGTGTTTTCAGCTTGTTTATTTTCATATAAAAATACGGCATGCAGTTGCATCAAACAATGGTATAAACATCATTCAATGTAAATTGTGATCATCATAATTAATAATTGCAATTACAATTTCAAGGGAATAATTGACAATTATGATTTTTGTCATAATCGTGCAGCCCTAATGTGCTGTATGTCAGTTTAATGTCAGAGGGCGGGCGGTATCTATAGGCCTATGTGCTACTTTCACCCAAAGGCTTTGAGGCAATGTATAAACTTACTGCTGTTTAGTTGTTTAAACCAGTTTTGAGTGTTCCTGATGTCTCTGTCCATGTCTGTGTAAGCTAAATGATGTACTGTAATTATTGCCAAGTGATGGTAAAGTGAAAGTACAAAGTGTTAAAAAAAGATTTCTTTTACTGATAAATGTGGCTTTTTTAAACTTTGTTCATCAGGAAATAATAACAAATGTATCATGATTTCCACAAAATTATAAGTAGCACAACATCATTGATGATGATTAAAAAGAAATGTTTCTTCTACTTGAAATGCTGCTTTGAAATTATATGTATCATGAAAAGCACTATAAAAATAGGCATGAATTTATATTTCTTGAGCACCAAATCAGCATATTAGAATGATTTCTGAAGGATCATGCAACAATGCAGACTAGAGTAATGGATGCAGAAAATTCAGCTTTGCCATCATAGGAATACATTTTAACATATATTAAATAGAAAATAGTTATTTTAAATTGTAATATTATTTCACAATATTACTGGTTTTTAGACTGTATTTTTGATCAAATATGCAGCCTAGGAAAAAAATCTTACCTATCCCAAACTTTTGAAGAGTAGTGTACGTTAAATGGTTGTTCTCATTTCTGAGGAACTTTTCGAAAGTGCAGCAGTAAAGTTGGTGCTAAATTTATATCTGCATTAGTATTTTCTCTTTGTGCTGTGTAGTTTGTCCTTTGAACTCTTTTAACAGTGATTCCCTATGCAGGAAATTGAGCTGCATGCTTCCTCACATCGGCAGTACTCGTAAAACAACAGCACATTGAATCTGTGGGCCTTACATAAACATCTCTTCTGGGTGTTCAGTGTCACATCCTGGAGACCCAAATCTACATTAACGATTGTTTTTTGTGTTGCATTCCCAACATTTAAGCAACTTAAAATCATAGCTATCACTCTGCTGTATTGTTAAAGTGACCTTGTGAAGATGTTATGTCATTGTGTCATGCCAAACGCAGAAGGCTGAATTTCACAGGAAAGAGCAGCTACTTGTTTACAGTCTTCTCTTCGTGTAACATTTTCTACAGCAATGTCCCCTCCGTCACCACCTTGAGAAAACCAACACCATAAACACTCACACTCTGTGTGATTCAAGTGTCAAGTCTTTCAGTGTGACAGACTTTGAACATTGTTGATTGTCGTGTTGTCACGTCACACAGTCTTTACAATGGCCTTGGGGCTCTGCCAGATGGCTGACTTCCAGTCTTCATATATGCTGTACCTGTCTGGCATTTCAAACGGTTGTTTATCTTCAAATGTGTGAGAAATTATTTGAGAAGAAAAGGGAACAATTGTAATGGAAGAAAATGCCTCAGCGGGTGGAAGAAAGGGGAAATGCTTCCCCCACAGCAATATTCCTTTGTTGTTTCGAAATGCAACAATTGATTATCATAGTCACTGCAGTGGTTGTAAAAGTGTTTACTTACAGTCTGACCAGCTCTCTTATCTCTTACCACTTATCTCGTCTTTCTGAGTTTGATAGGGTAGATCTGTTTTGTTTGTGTTTATGGAATGTAGAGGTGTAAGAGGAAGTTCATTTGAGAAGTAACTCATTAGAAATCCCCAGAGGAGGTCGCCTAAGCAGGTTTTTTCAGAGGATTTCTTTGGGGTTTTTTATTGTGGAATCTAGTTGTGTGCATAAAAGCCCTGAGAAAGCATATCCTTCATACACTTCTTTCAATATAGGACAGAAGTTCATCTCCTCACACAATAACAGTAAATTAAGTATTTGATACTCTCTGTTTGATTCCTTTTTATAATGTTTGTACGATTAGGGATCATCTATATGTGAGTAACTTTATTTTCAAACACCTATCACTTTTGTTGAGTTTTCACTATATATTTTCTAACATTTGGTAAAAAACTACTATAAAAATGTATATTGTTTAATTTTGGAGGTTAATGAGTAAATTAACCAATGTGGAGCATTTGTCAGGAAATGTTGTGCTGGTAATAGTGCTTTTAGTTTGCTTCAGTATGAATCGCTGTCTAGGACTACTAAAGCTGTGGACATTGTTGGGTTTACAAGCAGCAGCAGATCGGCGTAGTGACAATAACATGTTGTAGGCAAACTCTCGAACAAGAACAATTAAAGGAACTGCATTCATTTTCACCACAAAACTGTTTTAAACTCAAACATTGTAGTGATTTAAAATCAATTTCAGTTGAACAATCATGGTTTTGTTTTCCTGACAATGGCATTATGGGTGTTTAAATAGACATTTTATACTCTTAACAGACCCTTAGTTTCCCTAAATTGCTGAGAATTTAGCTTGAGCTGTCTGGATGATAAAGGTGATGATGAAGATTGCAGATTTGGACTCATTAAAGGCGTCATAAAGATGATTGGTTTTGGCTTCATAGATTAGCTTTTTTTTGCTACTGCTTCTGTATATTTGTGTTGGCTTTGCCTCATTTTCCTGGGTTTTTACAAATTCTTTCTATATTTGTGGCCTTGTTTATATTGACAAACTAAAATGCATTTCTTTTACTTTTTACAACAGGGAAGAGCAAAGAGACACATCTCAGAGGTGGCAGCCCTCTCCTGGATCCAAAGCCGCCATGTTGGTAAAGGTCAGCAGCATTGGCAGAAGCCAGACAAGAGGAACCAGCGGAGCCACTTCCCTTCATCTCCCACAGAGCAAAGCCAGTGACCATAGTGCCTGCACACTGAATACTGGCAGTGTCAAATCTGTTTCAGGCTACATGCTGTCACCACAGGCTTACAAAACCACACCAGGAGGAAAAATAGCAGCAGACACAAGGCAGGCCCACCACTTGAGGAAGGCGAGCAATGGCAGCTTCTGCCTGGTGACCTCTGGGGACTCGGCAGCATCTCTCCGGCCACAGCCTAGCTCACCTAGGCCAGTATCTCCTCAGTATGGAGCAACCGCACGCCTCTATGATGATCCATCATCTGATTACCCCATTTACGACGAGCCTCCAGTAGATATGGAGGTTGAAGGTGCTCACCTACATAACGGCCCATCTAGACACATTCTCCAGAAGGTCAAACTTCACCAGCACCCGGGTCAGTCTCACGCCAGCTCCAGACACAAGAGAAACCCATCGGACTATAGTCCAGCAGGCTTGGAGTGTATCAAGCACATGGTGAATGTAGACCCCAAACAAGAGCTTCTTTCCACCTCACCAGTCCCCTCTCCCAGCCCCTCTCCAACCTCAGCATCCGAATCTCTGCTTCTCCCAACAAGGGTGCTTCAGAAAGAGCCCACCAGCCTGGAAAAGATGCAGTCATGGAGGATCCTAGAAGCAAGTGCTCTTAGAGCCATGGAAGTTCACCACAGCCGGCAGGGCAGCCACGGATCTCAGGACTATTCAACACCACCACCTCCCGCCATTAGCTACCAAGACTCAGGTTATTCAACTGGCCCATCTCCCAGTCTGTGGAGGAAAAGCAGGAGGAGGATAGGTGCCGGGGCCCAGGGCCGACCCGGGTCTGTGGGCAGCACTGGGGAACTCACAGCCCTAAACGAGCGCCTGATAGAAGAGATGAGGGAGGTGGTTAGTCGCTCAAATACCATGCGGGAGACCAAAGCTAGTCTGGACTCTGAGATGTCGGAGAGCTCTTCCTCCCAGCGCACCCACAGTGTGGGACGGTGCTCCTCCAGGGAGGACATTGCATCTTGTAGCAGGTCACTAAGCAGAACAAGTAACCATCCCAGTATGGCCTTCACACCTCTGGAGATTCCGGGACGACAGAAGAGGACTTATGAAAAGGTGGACACGCTTGAGAAGAGTGTGACTTTGTCCTCACCTGAGACTGCCGGACCCCCTTCACAGGTACTACATACAAGTTCAATTGTATTATTCTTTTGGTAGAAACGGCTTGTTAACACTTTACAATGAGGTTCAAGTCATTAACATTAGTAGGGTATCATGAATCAACAATAATTGTACAGCATTTTTTAATCTTGGTTGCAGTGGTAGTCCACCCAAACTGAAAATTATTTTTTTACTCACAAAAAAGATATTTTGAAGAACTGTTTGTCTAAACAATGCAAGAAAATGGGGTCCAAAACAACAATGAACCCCACTGACACTATATGGACAAAAACATCTACTTTTGTGTTGCACAGAAGAAATAAAGTCGCACAGGTTTGCAATGACATGCGGGTGATTAAATTATGACATCATTTGCATTTTTAGTGAACTATCCATTTAATTAGGAAAGAACATGAATTAATAATGAACAATGGTATATTTATAAATTAAATACGTTAACTAATGTTAACAAATTAAATATTATTGTAAAATATTACAGGCGACCTTCTGGTAAACTATCACTTACTTACAATGAGCTTAACACACAAGTCCCCCAGGGGAGTAACTTTTACCTTGTTATTTTAGAGAGATTTGTAGTCCCATATAAAATATGTGTATGAACTTTTGGCACAGTGTATTTTCCACAGATCTTGAGTTTCAGCATCATTAAAACCCAGATGTCGTATTTGTTTAATCTCCATGTGGGACTGTTGGGAGAGAGCTTGGTTTGGTTGAAGTTTTTCATGCCTGTCTGATATTTTTCCCCATGGTCGTTATTAGAAACAGATTATTATGTACACCTTACACCACCCATTATAGCATAAGAGTGATGTAAAATATCAATCTTGTAGTTATTTCAGTCTAAATCATAAAGCGTAATGAGGCAACAACATCTTTCTCTTGGGTATTCAACACTGCAGTCAGGCAAGTTAGAGGCAATTCCCCGGCTGCACATGATTCTAGTTAAGGGCAATGATCACTCAAAGAGCAAGCCGCTCTGACCCATAGCAAAGCTGTAATCTGTCCTCCCTCAGTGATGAATTCTATCTACATTGTTCAACAGCTAGGCACCAAGAGTACTGTACTTTCTCAAATGCCTTCAAGAATTGACTACTTGGGTTTTGATCCAAATCAGCCCTGGAAACATTAAAGGGATTATTTTAAGGCTTTGAGACTTACAGTTGCTGATCATTGCAAATGTTTTCATTACCTATTTAAAAAGAGGCGATGATATCTACTCTCGTTGCGCCCACCTCTTCCCCTCCCGCCATCCTCTGATGCGAATCCAGCAGTGGTCTGCCATGGTAATGGGTGAAATGCCAGAACGTAGCGGAGCTGCAAAACACGACGCCTGTTGAGCAGGAAGGATGGCTACTGTGGCCCATATGGTAGCATTGCTGACACAGACAGGACAGTTGGGTCCTGGACAGGCGTGGTCACTGTACAGACCAATTGTGTGTCTACGGTGAAGCCGATAGGGGTTTGGTACCTGCTGGGGATTGTTCCATAAGCTGATGACATCATAGGTCACCTCATTCCCTGGTGTATGAGCCATTTCACCACACTGGCATTTCAATGTGCTAATTCCCAAAATTATTGGCAGATGAAGGTGAATATAAAAAAAAAAATCTGAAAAAAAAAAAAGTTTTGCATATAAGATTAATGAAGAGCATATGAAACCTATGACTTGTCATTTTTACCCACAGTATCCTAAAAATGTTATATAAGGTATAAAAGTGAATTTGGCACACATGTTGTGTCTGGTTTTTGTAACAGGAATACAACTTTGAGTACAGCGAGAGAGGCAATGAGTGCATAAGGGACCTCCTTAAAGGACAAAATTCCTCTAGGGATCAAAATGAGGCCATTGCTGGATTTGCACTATTTTTTAGACACATAGAAGGAGAAACGACTTACTGTAGGAATTTTTATGTCAATGATTGGTCATAACTTCATCTATTGTGGATGAGAATTCTTTATTTATAGGGTTTGATGGAGTTTATTGTGTTTTTTTGTGTTAATTTGAGTCTAAATGTGGATCCTGCAGTTATTGCAGAGAAGAACTGAAGGACAAAAACAGTCAAGTTCAGTGAAAAGCAGATGAACAAAGCTGCGGTGTAAAAATAGCTGTTTTATGAATGCTTTTGTGTTTCTCACCCTGTTTCTCCTCTTCTATAGGTGGGAACTCTGGAGCCAACGGTCCAGTTGGATAGTAGAAAGAAAGGTATGGTAGATGGCAGAACGGGCTCACTTGGCCCTCATCGCCACATAGCCAGCGATACCAATTTGCAGGCAGGTGATGGTAGGGCTTACCAGATTTCCTACGCCACCCTCCGTCAACCCCCACCCCCAGATGCCAACATGGCTGATTGGGCCAGCAAGCACCTAAACATGCACACCCAGGGCCTGTTCCGCCGCCGAGTTTCCATCGCCAACATGCTGTCCTGGAACCGAGGCTCCATCAAGAAGCCCATGCTGATGACCAACGACCGCACTGTTCGCAAAGAAGCCTGCGAGATGTTTAAGCTCGTCCAGGCGTACATGGGAGACCGACCCTCACGGCTGGACCGGCGCCATGCGGCTCTCCTCATTGTCACTAAGTGCTGGGGCATGCAGGGACTGAGGGACGAGCTCTACGTCCAACTGGTGAGGCAGACCACAGGCAACACCAGCCCACGCAGCCTGGCAGCAGGCTGGGAGCTCATGGCTGTGTGCCTTGCCTTCTTCGCTCCTTCACCCAAGTTCTGCTGCTATCTGGAAGGCTACATTCAGCGACACATGGAGCCAGTCAGTGACAAGAAAAGTGAGTTTGTCAATTAATTATTTAAAAACACATACACTAGACTTATAGGCTGTGTGTTTCGCCAAATCAGCAAAAAGCTGTTTACACAGGATACATTCTTGTGCTGTAAAACAGCTGAATGAACCTGAAGGCCTCGAAACATTTTTAAAACACGTCTCGCCTTAAAAATGCAAAGAACACATCCTGTGTGAAGGGCCTGCGGGGCCAGCCTCAGACAGATCAATTACAAACAGACAACACAATTACAAAATGGATTGCTGTGGTCTAATAATAGGCTTTTGTTCAATGATATGGAAATAAAACAAACAATATATTGACCTAAAAATATTTTTTGCATTGCTTTAGGTGTTTTCCACAATAATGTAATGTCTTGGAATTATCTTTATTATATGTAAAGATAATGATTTAATAATAATGAATATATATATTAAATTGATCAAACGTTGCAGTAAAGAGACAGATTTACAAATGTTACAAAAGAATAAATTTCTATTCATCCTGAAAAAAATTATCATTGTTTCCACAAAAATATTAAGTGCAACTGTTTTCAACATTGATAATAATAAAAAACAATTTTTTTGAACATTAAATCAGCATATCAGAATGATTTCTGAAGGATCATGTGACACCAACGACTGGAGTAATGATGCTGAAAATTCACAGGAATAAATTATATTTTAAAATATATTAAAACCAGAGGCGGACAAAGTACTCAACTCCATTACTTGAGTGAAAGTACAGATACTGCTGGTCAAATATTACTCCACTACAAGTAAAAGTTGTAAAGACAGATTTTTACTTAAGTAAAAGTACAGAAGTACTTGCTTTTAAAAGTACTTAAGTACCAAAAGTACATTTCCTTTTTTATGTCAATGCACTGTTTTATTGTTGTACGTAGTACTTGCAATACTTCTGAAGCAATTTAGAATACATTACACCTACTGAATACAGTACAGTAAAATCCTGTAAATACAGAGTGATAAGGAAGAAAAAAAAAATCAAACCTGCTTTAAAACCCAGCAACACAACTTTAGCTGTATAACTTTACAACAGCAACACTGCTTTAACAAAAAAGCAAAACAGCAAGACTTATTTGACATCAAAACAAAAATTGTTTAAATGCTGTATAATTGCTCTTGCGGTACTTTGATGTCACACACAGAATGGTCTGTGCAGTGCTGCTTCAACTCCAACACCTATTGTGTTTTATTAGGAGATGCACAACAGTTCTTCTGTGGCTTTATAGGTAATATTTTCACCTACACAATTTAGCAAAATCAGACAATATTGTGTCTAATATATACCACAATATTAACTTC